GATAACTTTTCCACAAAGCTTTACTAAAAGATATAAATACAAGTAGTTTTTCTCTCAAGTTTAATAATTTAATTCAATTCAGTTTAGATTCTTCTAAATCTCCTTTCCTAATAATAGATAGAACTCAATCCCCTTTTTTATAGTTATAGAGTATAACTACTCATGTATCTTACTCTAAATATATCTATTTTTAATAAAATATATTAATTATAAATGAACTGCCTCTTTAGAGATAAGTATAGTTCTTTAATATAATAAGAATTATACCTTCTTCTTTAACACTACTTCTTAAAGTCTCTAGATAGCTATGTTCCTATTATTGTTAGTATACAAAAAGGCTTAAATTATACTATCTGTAATATTTGGTATCTTCTGGTAGAAATATTTTAAAATTTCCTTGTAGAATTCTCTCAAATCTCTCTAGAAAAGAAAAGAAAAAGAAGACTAATTTATAATTGCTTATTGTATTCCCTTAATATCTTCTCGAATATTAAAGCTATAGAGATGAAATACATACTATTCTACTCACAAAAACCTACTCTACAAATTTTATTATAATATATCTTAGAGCAAAAATGCTTCTCTGATCTACAAAATACTTCAGAAGTGTTATAATAGCATTTTTAAAATGATTTATATAAAAAAAACCTAAAAAAAAGAAGAGAAATATAGTTTAGAAGAAATACAAAAATTATAATATCTCACTCTCTGTAAATAAATTTTAATGTTTCAATATCTGTTGGAATTGCAGAGACTTGCTCTACAACTTTACTTAAGACTCCAAGATAAGGTTACATAATACTAATACTTTTTCAGAACAAGATTTATGAAATTAATCTACAAAGTATCTTTTTTTTACTGTGCCACATAGATGAAAATATTTTGAATATTTTTCCTACCTCTAACATAGTAGATAACTCTCATATAACTCATTACTTTTAGATTATCACATACCTATAGTAACTAAAGAAAGTAAGTTTTTGAAACAGAGATATAACCAAACTCCTCAACACTCTATAGAGTTTATAACAATTTATCTTAGACATGTAACTTAAACATATTGATATGATATTGTTGATTTATATATTGGATGATAACTATACCCAACTTACTTGTAGTAATAGAACTAGAATATTATGAACATTATCTTGAATATTATTATATTAAAATAGTTTGCTACTTCTAAGTAAAAGTTAGCTGATAGTAAGAATATTACTACTCTTTGCAAAAAATATTATATAAAAAGACTTATAGTTTGTCAATTCTAAGTAAGATTTGACTGATAGTTTTTATGTTGTTACTCTTTAAAAATATAAAAGAATTTAATTTAATTTATTAAGCTGAGAAGATTCTATCAAGTATCCTTGAATATTAATGTTTGGAAAGTTTAACTATATATATATTGATGAAAAACTTTAGATTAAATTTTTATTTAAATAAATATTTTAAATACAACTTATAATAAATATTCTCAGATATAATATTCTTGAATAATATAAATAGGAAATTTCATAGGGAATTTGCAGAAAAAGACAAAGTCACTACGACAAAAAGCTGAATTTAGAAGATATGGAACAGAGATAGCTCAATAAGAATAGTTAAGGAAATAACTAAAGAATATGAAAGAGAAATCTTTGATAGGAGTAGTAATTCAGTAAAAGGATTTAAAAGCTATATCGATAAAATAATAGCTAAAATTTTAGATATAGAAAGCGAAATAGTTATAGTAGCTAGAGAATAGAGAAGTATATTAGAAAGAGCAGCAATGCATGAAGGAATAGAAAATATTAAAAAGGTAATAGAATAAGAAAATATAAGTATTTCAACTAATGAGAGGAAAAATGAAAGTAAGAAAATCATTTTGGCACAAGAAGAAAATATGCAGATAGAAATCACCAAAATTATAGATAAAGCAGAAATAGAAACAACAGAAGAAGAGATACAGATAGCAGATAAATTAGATAGCCAAGAAGAAGCAGAAAGAATAGAAGAATTAGAGACTAGATAAAAAGAACAAATAAATGTAACAAGCGAGAAAGAAACAAACAAAAATATAATGAAAATAGAGAATAAAATAAAAGAAGACAGAACAAAATACTTAT